GCTGTTATGTTACTCTGAAGAGCTTTCATCTTTGCTCATGTGTTTTAGCAGGCAATTGGCTGAATTCAGTCTCATACTCTAAAATTTCAGTTCAGTTCTTTTAGCCTTAGCTGGGATGCTTGGAGTCTGTGATATGTGTAGTTCAAAGTTTGGCCAGGTTGAGCAAAGATTATGCACTGAACTTGGATCTCCTTTACTTTTCAGCTGTGGTAGCTGCCCCCCGACCCTATACTCTGTCCTCTGGTTCCTCAAGCCAGTAAGATGGCAGGTTTCTACTGGAGTTTTAGTCACTCCTGAACGCACCAATGAGGCCGGCCATCAAATTAAAGCTCTAAAACACAGGACATGTACCCAGTGTCATTCCCTTCTCCCCTTCCAGTCTAGCACCTTCAGGTAGTTTGCTATAATATTTATCTTGTCTAGAGTTTATAGTTATTTTTGCAGAAGGGTTTCCCAATAGGAGCTACTTGGCTATTACTGAAACCAGAAACTGCCATAGGTTTTTAAATTGATATTCTTCATTAGTTTCAAAAGTTTCTTCCTATTCCCAGTTTACTAAGAGTTTTTTCAATGAAATTATGAAGAATTTTATCTAGTGACTGTATTATATCTTTCCCCACACTCCTCCTGCTATCCTGGGGGAATCGCTGGCCTCGGGTGACCCAATGATCCTGTTTATTTAGCTCCTGTGCCACCCACACTGGTTGTTGTGTTTCCCAAGACAGTTAAGAGGGAAAAGGAACTTTCCGTTTTTGAGAAGTTTCTCAAAATTAGTTGTTGAATGTTGATGCTGTCTCTTGTTTATCTGCTTGATTTATTCTGGATTTTATGGATTTATTCTTTTGGGTATAGTTCTTGATTTTGTCAGTTCACTAGATTTTGGAGGGAAGATGAAAAATATTTACTATTTGAGCCAGAAGTCAGTGGGTACTATTATTATTCCCATTACAAGAATGAGGAAATGGAGGATTAAAAAAATCATATGACCTGTTCCCTAACACCATTAAAAAGAGGAGAGCTGAGATTTGAATCTAGGTCTTTTTGGAGCCAGAGTTCAGTTGTAAAGTAGGCTGCAAGTGGGAAATTAATATGAAAAATGATTGGGAAAGTAAGTTGGGGACATATTGGGCAGGGACTTGAATGCCAAGATATGGAGTTTTCAGTCTTTCTTCAAACCACCACTCATTGAAAACCAGAGGCTCAGCTAAAA